TCTTGTGACTTAATTTCATCAAAGTCCAGAGTCGCTCCGATTAAAAGCATTTCTCTACCAAGGCTCGAACTCTGTGCCATGGTTCTTTTAGCCGAACTCCTCCAAAAGATTGATTTTGTTTTCAAAAAGAAAATAAGCCTCTTTAAAGTACATTTATGGTCCGATTCTCAAATTGCGCTTTCTTGGTGCAAAAGTCATGCCAGCAGATGGACTGTTTTTGTTTCTCATAGAGTCTCGCGAGTTCAAGAATTAACGTCAAACTGTCATTGGCGATATATAAAATCTTCAGAAAATCCCGCAGACATGTTGTCTCGAGGGTTATTCTCCCAAAAAGTTTTGGACTCTGGATTTTGGTTTCATGGCCCTAAATTTTTAAACAAATTTGATTTAAATTTATCTGATTACGACACACCTCAAAAAGAAATAAATTTACCCGAACAACGAAAAGTGACATTAATAATGCAAAATCCCTCACAAAATAAAAACACATATTGGTATGATGAAATGTTCGAAAAATACTCATCATTTCCTCGATTACAGCGAATATTGGCTTATATTCTGCGTTTTGTACGTAACATCAAGGAAAAAATCGACAAAAGAATTGGTCCATTATCTGTCTTAGAGCTTGATTTATCAAGAAACTTTATAATTAAAGTTTTGCAAGACCGATATTTTTCAAAAACCATTTTTGAACTCTCAAATAATAAATTGATCTCTGATAAAAACTTACTCAGCTTGAAACCTTTTCTGGACTCTTCGGGTCTATTGAGAGTTGGTGGTAGGCTGCTGAATGCTGAGATTTCCTATGACCAAAAGCATCCTCTTCTTCTCCCATCTAAGAATTTTGTGGTAGATCTCATGCTTGTGCATGAACACAAACGTCTGGGTCATGCTGGCGCTCAAAATGTACTTTCTAACTTTCGCCTTAGGTTTTGGCCTTTAAATACTTTACGTCAAATTAAGAAAATAATACGGAATTGCACAACATGTTTTCGCTTTTCTGCGCAAACCAATCAGCAGATCATGGCCACCCTTCCAAAGGAAAGAATAAAGTTGGAGACGATTTCGGGGGTGCCTTCCTCATTAAATCTTCTCGATTACGTAAAGCTGCTGTCATTAAATGCTATATTTCCCTTTTTGTGTGCATGGCCACTAAAGCGGTACACATTGAACTTGTCTCTAGCTTGTCAGCTGAATCGTTTCTGATGACTTTGAAGAGGTTCATATCTCGAAGAGGGAATCCAAACACCATATTTAGTGACAATGCTACAAATTTCACAGGAGCAAATAATAACTTGAGGGACTTGTATAATTTTTTCAAAAATCAATCGAACTATGACACTATAGAAACCTATTTAACTCAGAATGAAATACAGTGGAAGTTCATCCCACCTCGGTCACCACATTGGGGAGGATTGTGGGAATCTGCCATTAAGAGTGCAAAGTACCACATAAATCGCCTTGTAGGAAATAATCACTGCACTTTCGAAGAATTTGACACAATTCTATGCCAAATTGAGGCAATATTAAATTATCGGCCTTTATGCGCTTTATCTAGCGACCCTTCGGATTTCGAATCGCCAACCCCTGGACATTTCCTTATAGGTTCGGCCCTGACTGCATATCCTGACAGAGACATCACTCATACTCCCGAAGATAGACTTAACTCCTGGAAAAGGTGCTCTCAGATTCAACAAAGGTTTTGGAAGCGCTGGAGCATTGAATATTTAAATAGACTTCAAAATCGCCCCAAATGGCTCCAGCCCTCAAGAAATATATGTGAAAACGACCTCGTTCTTCTTAAGGAAGATAATATGCCTCCGCTCAAGTGTCAAGATTCACTGAAACTGTCAAAGGCACAGATGGAAAAGTTAGAATTGTTAAGCTTAAAACATCTTATGGAAGTTTCACACGTTCAATAGCAAAGGTTTGTTCCTTACCAGAAAGTGTTAACTTATTGCCCCCACATAATAACCCCGAGTATTAGATATATTATAATCTTCCTCATTATCTCAATTTCTTAATTCTTAAGTTTCGTAATATATTTTTTTAATAACTCTCATAACTCTCCTCTTGTAATCTCTTTAAATTTCTTGAAGTTGGAAACTTCAACCCGGGGCAGAATGTTGTGGAAACAGCCAAACAATCGTATTTATTTTTTATGATCACAGTGGCAACGTTGCAAAAAAAGCCCCCCGCCGTGAAAACTTTGCCGCTGGCGCCGTACCAGGCTGTACTGCATCGATCCAGTCTGGTTGTTGTCGCTAAGGGAAAAAATGCATTCCTTATCTTTTTCACTTCGCAGTGTGATTTTAGCAGTGTGATTGTAGTAGTGTGGTTTCACTAGCAGTAAATAGTGCGTAAAAACGTCTAGTTCTATACAAGTTTGAACCTGCTCACTTTTCTCTAATTATTTAATTATTCTCTCTAGTTGCACCCTTGTGCGGTCTCTCTCTCGCTCTCTAAATGAAAAGACTTATTTTTTATCTCTCTGGCTGCTGGCTTGAAAACTCAAGTGATATAATATCGCGTAAAACATTGAGTTAATCACACTCCCCTTTTTTAAGGGCTCTCTAAAAATATAAAAACTCTCAACTCCCGAAGATTTCTATTAAGAATAAACTTTATCTTGTGCTCTCAACTAAAATATTAGCGTTCCGCTAATACTGACAATTATTGTTAAATTGACTATTGAGCACTTACAACTAGTGAATTTATACCGATTAGTGAATGTTCTCGAATAACTCAAATGCGACTTGTTAACTAACCTGTGAATAATTAAAAGTACTTGAATGTGGTTACAGTATTTATTACTTTATTAAACGATTATTTTGGCAACAATAGAGAGATATAAAACTGGAAGTGTGAGTGCATTATTTAGCAGTGACATTCCCATCCCCTTTATGATCCAGTGATCTATCCCTAAATTAAATGTTGACACCTCAGTTAGAGGCCCTAACAGCGTTAAAGCTAGTCCGTCCCTGGCAAACTAGATTGGTCAAGTGTGTTCGAGAGGGTCCTTTCTAAGGGGTCCTATCTAATATCCATCATATTAAGAAAAAAAATACACTTTGAAAGTTATCAACAAAAAACCTATTTTCAGAGGCGTCCTTTAGGGGCACGTAACTTCGTAGGGGGGGGCCGTAGGAATTTTTTTTAATAGGAAGTTGTCATGTTATATTTTTGTGTTCTATCTGAATCCGGCAGATTTACCACATATTCTGGGACACCTTGTTCAAACGTATATGTTGAAGAAAAGAAAGCTTTGACAAACGTCAAACTTTCAACTTTAAGTATGCTTTAAGTTCAAAGTTTGACGTTTTTGAAAACCACAGCTTTCTTTTCTTTAAAGTGAGTATCAATTAGGGTTAGTTTGAAATGCATTTACAGGAATGTGCAATTAAAATTCGTTTGTGAAATAGCTATTTACCTAACAAGTGCGGAAAATGAATTGTTCCGCACGCGGCTGCCGTTCACCGAACGACGCGTATCTCCCATAACAATACATGCAAAGCTTGCATCTAACGGGGATGACACGGCCAGAAATAAAAAAAAACCAGTTTGTATCCAGTGGATACATGTGGGCCCTGAAACATTGTGTTGTTTGTATCCATGTTGAATACACGTGGCACTCAACGTGTTAAAAAACTTTCTATCACGTCTTCAGACGCGTTTAAAATTGAGTCCCCATAAGACATCAATGCAATAATTTTTTGACTAGGAACCCGCGCCAACTTGAGATTCTAACTTAACTAATATGGTGAAATCTGGAATCATTTCCTATATTATAATAATTGAAAATAATCGTATTGACTAAGACAAGTGGGAAAACTCATAAACTCACTGAAACAATTTTTTTTTGTAATTAGTTACTAAGAAAACAACTTTGATTACAGATATATCTGAAACCGCTTAGTTACTTGCAACTTATAAGTAAACTAGCTGACCCGGCGAACTTCGTACCGCCTCTGAATTATTAAATATACCTATTACATGTTGTGTTAACGTATCTATTAGCTGAATTAAATTCAGTTTTTTTTTATGGTGAATTTGGCTTTGGTTGAAGAAAATTAATGTTTACTCTCTGGATCAGAAGTCACCTAAAATTAAAATTTTACATCATCCTTTTTTAGGCAGCTTGTGGGCATTATTCTTGTAAAGTGTACCACCAAATAAATACACTCAGGCATAGGAATGTTCAAAGAATGTAAAGAAAACAAAAAAAATCTCTAGCGCAGCCCTATTTCACTCTATCTGCACTGCATGCACTGCACTACTCCATCTGTTCTACTCTATCTGCACTACTCTATCTTATCTACTCTTTCTGCACCACTCTATCTGATCGGAATAGTAGAATAGTTCTGTTCGAAATAGCTCCAGTTCCTGAGCAGCATTGTTCTACTGTATCTGCAATGCCGAGCTTCGTTCCAGGTATCAGAGATGGCGCGGTATACAAAATACAAAATAAACTTGGTATCGGTTATAAGAGATGGTGCAGTATTCGGGCTTAGTAAATTTTTTTCATAAATAAATAAAATAAGTAATGAAATGATCACATTAATGATATAACAACATGCTGGTACTGTCAACGCTGAAAAAAGTTTCAATTTGACAGCAAAATCCTCATTAACAAAATGATCCTCCATTTATTGAATAATTCATTTATTACAAAAAATGTGATAAATGAAGAACCGCTCGACCTATTTTGTGCAAACTTCATCTAATAAATAGTCCGAACAAAGCCTAAACATTTGGTTTGGCTAGGTGAGCCTGTTCTTGAGTTATAAAATTACAACGAAAAATGGCATTAATTTTTATATATATAGATTAAGGCTCAAATTTAATGAAGCATCCAAAAACATAAAATAAAAAAATCGTCATTTCATTTAAATTTAGCACGAAATAAGCAACACTATATTGAGTTTTCGTGGAAGTGATAGTGAAATCGAGAATGGATTGTTCAAAAATAAGAATCCAATTTAATTAGGTATGTGCAATACTTACATTATAATTTTATTATGGTGAACCACAATATCTTTCATATCAGAAATCAGATGTAAATCGTCACTGTTGTTCCCAATGAGCATTCCCATTGTTCGAATTTTTTTATTTAGCACACTAACTTGTCCTTTTACAATACACATTAAGCCTAAAGCTATAAAATCAATTGAAGAGTTATTGGAAGCCGAGTTATACAGGCCGAATGTTTGGAATAAATACATAACTGCTTGCAGATTTCCCAAATCGATTATTGTGAATCTTACTGGTAATGGTTTACTCGTAATTATTGGCATAACGCTATATAGGGATACAGTTAAAGCGCAGTTTATTTGGTAACCAATGCCAATGGTCTTAGCTATTCTAATAGGTCTGGTAACTTCGTTTATGGATTTTTTTGGTATATTTTTAAATTTTGGTTCATTCAAAAAATTGTAAAGATTTAAAAAATCCTTTTCGAGGCCAGAAAATACCAATTGTTTGAGAATGTATGAAAATGGAGCCGTGAAAATCGTTAAAACTTCCATCAAACTTTTAAAATCATGATGAGCAAAAATACATTCAGCAGCCATAATGATACAAAATATTGAAGAATTTAAAATTGAAATGATGCTTCGGATTTTTGCCCAATTTGTTTTATTTTTAGGCCATAAACCGTAAATATTGAGAATAAATTTTGGGACTTTAAAAACTTCGTATAGATCCATATTTATCTAAAATAAAACATTTTTGTGGTTATCCATGAAATAATAACCAAACTATGGAATATTTACCATTTTATTTTCAATTTCGGTCATTTTGATTCTGTTCTAACCAAAATAAATTAACAACTGGTTAGTCTGAAACAACTTTTACTTCACAGTAACTACCTATTTTTTGAGGTGCTCGTAATTGCTATACAATTTAAAAACTTTTAATTTCTACCTTTGCCTGTTTATATTTCTTTTGTGTTTCCAGGACAATAATTAAAGTTTGAGAATTTATTATTCAATATATTCCAAAGTCCGTGTAAAAGCATCGTGCATAAATCTTCTATAAAATCCAACCATTCTGTTTTTAGATCTTCTTAAAAAATATCCCATACGTCTCCAAACCTGTTTGATTGTTGCACAGGGCTTTTTTCGTCTTTTGTAAGACTTTTTATAGTATTTATCAATAATGATTTCTGCCATTAATATTAGACCTGAAAAAAACTTTAAAGAGTATTGCAAATACATAATGTCTGCGGGCCTTCCTAAATTCTCTTCACTAACAACAACGACAACTTTAAACATTAAACAATTTTTTTTTTTCAAAATTCATTTATTGCTTTTACTCAACTTTTACAACAATTCTCTTATTTAGACTAATCTAGAATCACAAACTAGATACCTATGCGCTTTACGTGTAGGTATACAAAATCATTCGACCGAGAAATCTCTCTACACTTTATTTTTTCCCAAGATAGATTTTGACATTGAAAACTTTGTAACATAAACAATAACGCTTGACCCTGATTGGTCGCAAAATGAGGTATTTCTGCAGGTTAACATCAGTTTTAAAATAGCGACCAATAAGCGGCATTAGTGGCATTGTTTATGTTTCAAAGTTGACAATGCCAAAATCTCTCGCAATAGAAATGAATTTCTGAATAATCGCGCTCTGACCATGCATAGTCAGGTGGACATTTCGCACAATGTAATAATTTCGAGAAACTTTCTATCCCCGTGATAAGCCTTCAACCTGTCGAGCTTAACCATCTATACTCTTCTACGTTCGCGTTGATACCTCCACCGTTGATCGAGTACTGTTATACCCAACCTTATGAGAAATAATGAGATGAGACTATGATGGTCGTATCCACCCAACCGTTTAAAGTAAGCTTACTTATCGTCAAAAGTAAAAATGACATCGGCCATCTGTGGTTCGAATAGAAACTAATATATCGACTTTGAGAAATCAGTTCCTAGAGACCTAAGAGTATCTAAAAAGCTGTTAAAAAAATTTGCTGCAACATACTTTATATGTTGCATCAGATAAGAATGGTTCGGGCCACTGCCCACTTCACAGTCTGCTATATTCACTCCCGGCGAGAGAACTTGCTGGGATTTCTATGACGGGCAGGCGCCATCCATCTTTCTCAGGGGATTTTTTGCGCTTGCGCTTGCGCTTGCATCAAATAGCTCCGGATCTATTTTTCTAGCATTTGCATGTGCAAGTTTTAATATTGTTCGTGTTGCCAACTGTACGACATAACATTTAAAAGTAGTCAGTCGGGTTTATTTACCTTTTAACTATTTATAATTTGTTTGAATTTTCAAATAAAAGAGTTTATTTTTAATTTTTTAGGTCTGGAAAACTACCCGAATAATATATCATTCAGTTCCTCATCTAGTTGTAACCTCAGTATAATATATTACTTAACTTAGTTCCTATGTATTAAATAATAGGTGTAGCGGTTCGGGCATTTTAGTGCATTTCGCGCCTAATGATTTAAAATTGAACTAGGAAGCGGAAGTGACAAGCTTGGGTAAACTCGGAAATGGGAAGGACGGTAATGAAAACGAAGCGAAGAGACAGTGTGAGGATCTCAACCTAAAAACAAGTCGTACGGCGTGGAGCGTGTTACTAATTTAGAAAAAAAGGAATCCCAATTAGAGATTCTAGTCCATCAGCACGCTAGTAGAAAAGTATAGAAAACTCGAGTGCGAGTGTTGTTAATTTTCTCGGGAGAGTGCTCCGCGCAAGAATTGTGTCTATTTGGAAATTAAACTTATACCGGATCAAACCAGTGTGTTATTCTCCTGTTCTCAGTATTACTCCTTGATACACCATAAGAAAAAAAAATGATTACCAGCAAGCTGTAAGCTCGTGTATAGCTTAAGCGTGACGAGTTGGACAACTTTTCTACGTGGAAAAAATTGCCCGCGGGAGGTTTTCCTTCGGCACCGCGAGAAAGATGTCGATTTCATGATTTTAAGTTATGTGATAACCAGCAAGCTGATGCTTTTAGGAATGCTTAACTAGGTGTAGTAATGTGTCACTATAACATTGTCCGACAAAAATATTGGGTATTTCCACTTGTCCCCCATCCTAAACATGTTCTTTTTATGATTTTTGGTTATGTGATAACCAGCAAGCTGAAAGTTTCAGGAATGCTTAATTAGGCGTAATTATGCGTCAGTATAACATTGACCGACAAAAATGATGGGTATTTCCACTTGTCCCCCACCCTGAACATGTTCTTTTTATGATATTTGGTTATGTGATAACCAGCAAGCTGGAAGTTTCAGGAATGCTTAATTAGGCGTAATTATGCGTGAGTAAAATATTGTCCGACAAAAATTTTGGGTATTTCCATTTTGTCCCCCGCTCTAAACATGTCGATTTCATGGTTTTGGGTTATATGATAACCAGCAAGCTGAAAGTTTCAAGAATGTCTAATAAGGCGTAATTATGCGTCAGTATAACATTGTCCGACAAAAATATTGGGTATTTCCATTTGTCCCCAACCTTAAGGTTTAAAGTCAGGGCTATAGTTTATTACAGCAACGCGAGATGTCAATGCTGTCGCCCCTATAGTGTGCCCTAACTTGACTGTCAAAAAAAAAATAGAAATCTGATTTGGTTAAATTGTGTGATGTAACGTTTTTTCTTTTTTTGGCGGAATTCAAAGTATTATTCTGTTTTACATAAACAGGGTTGTAGTTTCGACCAACGCAAATTATTTTGAACGTTCATCCGTCGGATTTTTTTCTAAACAGTGTAGCTACGGGCGTATTTCCAACTATTTTTGCAGTAGCGAGAAAACTACAAGTTCAAAAAATTTGAAAAAAATATATGTCGCGTAGAATTGCAATAGTGGTTCGTGAGAAAAATAATGGGAAACTTCAACTATTCGTTTTGAAATAAATGGTGAAAAACTACTTTTTTTTCAGTTTTTGCGATATAATTCAAAAATGGCGAGTCAAATTTGCTTTAAAAAAATATGGATTAAAGTATTTCGATAACCATAAAACATATATTTTTTTTTGGAATTTTTGAACACAAGGTTAAGAAAATAGGGGTTGACTTTAAACCTTAAACATGTTCTTTTTATGATTTTTGGTTATGTGATAACCAGCAAGCTGAAAATTTCAGGAATGCTTAATTAGGCGTAATTGACGTTTTCAATTAAAAGAGATGGACGATAAAGTATGAAAACATTCAGATTCCCGCCAACATTTGCTTGCTCGTCAATGTCAAGTGTATAGGGTGTTTAGCAATTCCCTGGTTTTTATTCTAATCGGTGACTCCACCGATGAGTTAGGTATCTTTGTTCAGTGAATGGAAAATGACAATGACCAACATAGAATGGTGAAATTTGAAATTGGAATGAAAATGTGGGAAGCAAACAGCTTCCGCAAACTAAACTTGAACGTGGATATCTTTGTATACTTGATGGGCCGTGGATTTCCCTTACTTTTGCGAGTATCAGTTCTGATTTTGTGTATCCAAATTTTGACAAATCTAGGATTTGATAAAAACTTATGGAAAGACACGTCCGCCGGTGAATAGGAATTATTTTCACGAAAAGGTACACTACACACAATCACCATTGTTAGGAAAAAACCTTGAAAAAACCGAGGAAATAATAGTTTCCAGTCTCACACATATAAAACTCTTGTCAACAAACCACTGTCAATCATTGTTTTCATACTCTTTTGGCATCTGACAGTCTGACGCCAGAGAGAGAGGCTTCTAAATTGAAAAGGTCAATTATGCGTCAGTATAACATTGTCCGACAAAAATTATGGGTATTTCCACTTGTCCCCCACCCTGAACATTTTTTTTAAATGATATTTGGGTATGTGATAACCAGCAAGCTGGAAGTTCTAGGAATGCTTAATTAGGCGTCATTATGCGTCAGTAAAATATTGTCCGACAAAAATGTTGGGTATTTCCATATTGTCCCCCGCTCTAAACATATCGGTTTTATGATTTTAGGTTACATATGACATGTAAAAACTAGCAAGAAGAAAAAGGCCATAATGTTATAAAAACATGGTACGGATATATTATTAAAACATTACATAGACATTTAACAATTGATGTTTCGAGACATTCTATTATTCACATTCGCTTTGTACGCGCATTATGTAGGTACTATAAACCAAAATAATTTTCTAAACTTTTTCTGTCTCCTCACATAATAGTTATTTTTGTATCAAGGGCGCGAAATGCTACTTTGGTGATCGAGATCTGATTTTTTTAACGAGGCCTAGCCGAGTTAAAAAAATAGTCGAGATCACCAAAGTATTTCGCGCCCGAGTTGCAAACAATATTTTTTCTACAACTCCATTTAAATATCGATCATTCGAAGCTAAAATTGCATTTTCAAATAAAAGTAGGTGAATTTTAATTATTTTTGGTTTCCTGACAGGTATGTGTCACCATGATACCCAGTGTGCGGACTAGCTATTTCGCGCACGGCGTCATGGGAACGTTAAGAAATCAATACCTACCTGGGAAAAAAAGTGTCACTTCGCAAACTGTCATGAGTGTGCGAACTTCATCATTTTTTGACAGTTGTAGAAAATAGTTATTTTTGTATCAAGGGCGCGAAATGCTACTTTGGTGATCGAGATCTGATTTTTTTAACAAGGCGCAGCCGAGTTAAAAAAAATAGTCGAGATCACCAAAGTATTTCGCGCCCGAGTTGCAAACAATATTTTTTCTACAACTCCATTTAAATATCAATCATTCGAAGCCAAAATTGCATTTTCAATCAAAGGTAGGTGAATTTTAATGTTTTTTGATTTCCTGACAGGTTTGTGTC